ACTGGTGTGTGGCATTTATAGGGATGCATTAGGCAGGAAACAGATCTGGAAGGCCTTGAATGGAATGTCAAATCAAAGAGCTAGACTTTCTCCTGTTTACAGTGAGGGAACTTTGAAAGGTTTTAGGTAAACAAATAAGTAAACAAAAATATTGTTTAAGTTTGAACAAGGTAAGAGTGTCCGGGAATGTTGAGGACTGTGTCTACTTGGAAAGCCTGCGTTCCTTTTAAAGGAAGCAGCCAGGGTTCTGGCTGATGGTTGCTGTACAGAAAGACAGGCCCAGTTTTGCCACTGGGAAATCTAGATTTTTATATAAAATCTTCCAATTTTTTATATGTTTGCAACAAGTTTTTTTTTTTAAATTTTGATTACGTATAAAATTTTAATTGTATATAAAACCCCGCATAGTAGCCACCCTCTGGGGGCTTCTGCCTGGAGTATAAGTAAGCTCCAGGAGGACAGGGACTTTGTCTTATTTCCACTGTGTTCTCAGTGCTTGCCACAGAGCCTGGCACACAGTAGGTGTTCATACATGTTTGCTAAATGTATATGTATGTGTTAGTTACTAGTATTCGTATTGTACGCTTGAGGAAACTGAGGCTCATGGAGGATAATAGATGACACGGGAAGTGGCCACACTCAGGTTCAAGTTCAAATCTCTGAACTTGGAAATAGACAAAATGTCTTGCAAGAAAGATGGATTAAGATAGACTAAGAGTAGAAACAGCTCTTCGTCAGACCCTTACACCACCCCCCTATCCCCTATCCAGGATGTGGGGACAGCTCAGATGTCCTGTGTGTGGCTCCCACTTGATTTTAACCCCCCTGGGAAACTTCTGATCCCGTTCTCTGGGACTGTTTTCCCTCTCTTATCTTATTCAGACCTAGGAATCAGAGATGAGGCAGCCCACTCACCACCTGTCCCTCCCCAGCACAGTGACATCTGTAAAACGTTGAGTTGCTAGCAGTAGCAGTTTCTTCTGGGTATTTCAAATCCAAACAAGGACCCACCAGATCTTGCTGGCCAGGATCCTGGACAACTAAATCCCTAGGGGTACCAGGTAGCTATAAGGTAGCTTTTTCTGATCTAGTTCACTCTTTTACAAACATTATTAGCAGAGCTGCTCATGGCTGCTGCATAAGTAGAAATGAAAGGAGGTGGGCTGTACAGCAGAAACTAACACAACATTGTGAAGTAATAAAAATTAATTTTAAAAAAAGAAAGAAATGAAAGGAGGTGGGAAAACAATAGAGCCAGTGAAGGGGGATTTGGGGAAATAGAATATCAGTGGTTGAGGCTTCTAAAATCAGAGTCAGGCTAAGACCTACTCAGTTGACATAAAATCAATCCTTCCTTCCTTTCCCTCTTTCTTCCTCTCTTCCTCCCTTCATCTAATCAGACAGTAGTTTAGTCAGTCAAGAAACATTTGTTGTTCAGTGTTCAACAGACTCCCATAATTGGCAGGTGATGATTTGAATGATGCCCGTGAACTGTGTCACATTTTATTCATATATTCATACACTTTCAATTTATTAAGAAGGGATAAGGAGAGAAGGAGACACTAGCGTGTTTTGCCAACTATTACAATTCGCAGGGGAAAGCTGTTGTTGTTCCTCTATACAATTCTGAGAGTAATTTACCAATTTCTGGACTCTTTCCAGAATCTTGTATTTGAAGGTACAGTCACGGCTCAGTGCTCTGCTTTCTGAACCAGAACCCCATGCACTGCATTGCTGGCCAGTCAGTTCATCTTGCACACATTCATTTTCCTTAAATGGATTTATTTTCAAGTCCATCAGGGGATTTTTCTTAAATTTAATCTTTAAAAGAGTCTTATCCAAGGTAAATGGATAAATTACCAGCTGGTAAATGGCGAGTAGGAAGCTGGCCAGGCCCGATCTGCCTGGCTCTGTGTCCTTTGCATTAGGTCATGGAGGGGAACCCAAGCTTTGGAATGTTAATCTTGCCCACGGGCCTGAAGTAATATCCCAGGATGTGAATGTGCATGACCATCTGTCTGTCCTGGGGGCGTGAAGAAGGCAAGACGCTCTGTCCTTGACCCTGACTGACTGAACCCAGGGGCTGGATCTGGAGGTTTAGGGGCCTGGGAACCTCCCTCTAAGTGCTTCAATGTCTGCAGGCCCCAAGAGTTTCGCTGTTTCATAGCAGGCATGGCCACCTCCCAGTTGCTATTCTGTGCTGTGGCAAGTGCCAGCTTGTCTTCCCTTCCCGCCCAGCCTGGGAAACCGGAGGCATTTCTAGCTCAGGCCCGGACCCGTCCTGGTGGCCTGGATTCCACCGCCTAGGCAGAAAGCTCATCTCAGCCCAGGGACCATTTCTCCCTGGGTTTTGTCACAGAAGAATTTCTATTCCAGCAGTTCAGGGCGATGGGGGTGGGTGGGTGGCCACAGGCTTCTTCTCGCTTAAGCTACAGAGTGGTGGGGTGGATATCAGTGTGTAGAGAAGGAAAGAGGGGAGGGAAGGGAAGCTTGAGACATTCCATCCCTGAGGTTGTTTCATCCCCAAATCCAAGGCAAATAAGGGAGTTGGGAAGGCTGGACTGTCTTCCCAGCAGCCCAGTCCTGAGTCCCTGAAAGGAGGACTTTCTCACATTCCTACAGGAGGGTGGGAAAGAGGCTGGGTCTGGGCAGGTCTGGAGAGCACCTGTTCCCTGTGGCTTTGGGGGAACACGCCCCGACTTGCTGAGCTCTCAGGTAGGAGTCTCTGGGTAGGAAGCCCAGCCTCTGATTGCGCAGGGGCTGTGTGTGTGTGCGTGTGTGTGTGCAACAAATAATTGTTTAGTGCATCCATGCGCTTTTTGCTTAAATGAAATTCAAATTTAACTGAACTTATCTGGCAACCCCAATATAGGAGGCAGGACTCAGTTGAACTGGACTGAGGCTGACACTCCATCCCCGTCTCTCCAATTTCAGGGAGGCAAGGGCCAGTTTCTGGACACATAACCCTGCTTTGACCTGCTCCCCACCCTGAAGCAAGAGAATTCCTTGGGCATTGCCTGTCCCACACAGCTAGGGCCCCTCGGACTTCAGACTTCAGTTCTGAAACTCCAGAGACTTTCATGTCAACCGGTAATGCTCCATCCTGGAGTCCCTTTGAAGATGAAAAGCTCTCCTGAGAAGTGAAGTGCTCTGTTATTGTAATTAACATAATTAACAGCACTTTTGCTCATAGCCCTGTAAGAAACTGGGGGACTTTGCTTTTTGTAAGAAATACCTACCTCACTCTCCCAGGAGATGGCCAACCTCTTCTAATCCAATACGAGGGTAGATGTCCCTGCCAGCCCCAGTCCCTGCTCCCACCTACCCTGACTTAGCCTTGTCTTTTTACTTGTTCAGATGGTTTTTCACTACAAGGCACCCGGCTCTCCAGGCACAGTAGCCACCCTCTCCCGGGAGATGTCTGTGCCTTCTTGATGAATGGTAAAGCCTGGGGTAAAGCCTTTTGGTAAATGGTAAAAAGCCTTCCGTCCGGTCTACCCTAGCTCTGGAACGGACAGAAGGGGTGCCAGCTGCTGCCATCTCACTTCTCAACCCAAATGCCCCGACCACTAGGAGCAAACTCTTCCTTGATGCCAGGAATCAGGTTGTTGCTGTGTAGAGTGGCCATGTGGGAGGTATATAGCATTTCCTTCTGAAGGTAGCTGGTCACACAATGGTAACCAGGGCAGCTAAAGGTCATGCCCAGAGGCCTTGTCCAGAGTCTGTTGTCTTCATTATTTATTTCTAGGGGTGCATCCTTCTGCTTTCCCCAAGGAGGTGATCAACTCTTGCACAGGAAGAGCCAGAGCATTCCATTCCCTAAAGGCGTAGCATAGAGGAGATGCTCAGCATTACTAATTGGGTTGCGAAAAATTGATGTTTGTGATAGACCAAAGAAGCATGTCTGCCTCTCTCTGCATTCCCAGGGCTCTTAGCAGCTCTCTCTGGGTTTCCTGACATACCTACTGTATGATTTTTATCTGGCCTGTTATGTGATTGTAAAAACGTACAGAAGTGTTCTATGTTGTTACTATTGGCAGTGCAAGGCCTCTGCCCAAACTGGCTGAAGGTTCAAGAATTTTAGACAGTTGACTCTGATGACGGCTAGAGGTTATAAAATTTCCCTGTCATCCCAAATCTGTCTTCAACATCTTGGTATTGTCCTACCCTAGACTCTCTTAGGAAATCACAAGAAGGAAAATTAGAGTCCTGGACCTCTGTAGAATGTGCTCTCAGGTCTTTATAGCCTGTTCCTCTCCCCACAACATACATACACACACATACACATACACACACACACTCATCCGTGAGTGGCAGAGTCAAGTCCTCCCCACCTTCCTATTTCATTCAGTTTAATAGGAACTTATGCTTAGACAGCAAATGATGCTCAATAACAATAATGGCTCATATTGAGCTTTGTAGATCTAGTCTCTTTGAGATTCAGAGTCACCAGAACATGTCAGATGAACTAGAGGGGCCCTGACAAGGCTCAATGACAGACAGTTGTGACAAGGCCATTGAAATGACCTTCACCGTAAGACAGTAATGACCTAGGGCCTGGAGCCCATCATAGGGGTGAGTTGGCTCTGGGAACGGCATGAGGCTGACGCTGAAGCCTCCTTCCAACCCACCTGCCTTGACACTATGGGTGTGCCAAGGGAAATGGCCATGCATTCATCAAGGGAAGAACTCGGACCCTAAAGAGCTATACCACTGGGAGCTAGTGGCATGCCTGAGACTGAGTATAACAAATTGGGGGGAGCTGTGGGAGGGCACAGGGAGAGCTGGGGAGAATGTCTGCTCTTGCCCCCTGGAGCACAGCCAGGCTTCAGCAGTGACTGCTGATGAATGTAACCAGGACTGACCCTTTGGACTGGGTCAGCATCACTGAGAGACTTGGCCAAACCAGAGGGAAGACTGAACTCCTTGCTAATCTACTCATGGAGAAACTTGGTGTCTTAGTCCATTTGGGCTGCTATAACAAAATACCAGAGACTGGGTGGATTATAAACAACAGATATTTATTTCTCACAGTTATGGAGGCTGGGAAGTCCAAGAAGATTTGGTGCCTGGTGAAGACCAACTTCTACGTTCTTAGAAGGCCATCTTCTTGCTGTGTCCTCCCATGGTGGAAGAGACGAGGTTGCTCTCTGGAGGCCTTTTCATAAGGGCACTAATCCCATTCATGAGGGCTCCACCTTCAGGACCGAATCACTTTCCAGAGGCCCCAGCTCCTGCTACCATCACATTGGGCGTTAGGATTTCGACATATGAATTTGGCAATGGGGCGCGGGGACACAAATATTCAGTCCATTGTACTCAGTGTCTCGTTGGGATTCCTACTTTAAAAGAGACTTGGTCCCTTTAGTTAAAGGCTGAAGTACAGGGACAACTTTGAAGAGCAGTTATTCTTCAAATAATATATACCCTTCATAGGAAATAAACCTTAACTATCTTTTCTAAGAGAAAAGGCTAGTGTTTTCTTCATTTTTGAATCAGGGCTACACAATTGTCTTATTTTATTTTCTTTTAATGTTTCTTCACAGTCTTTTTGTTTTGGGAAGAACAAACACTGGTTCCTGGATATATTCCTGGCTGGTTGAAGAGAATGTCCTCCTTGGGTCCCAGCTAACAATGCTCAACACTTACCCATGCTGCCCTCATCTCTTTTCCTGCCTTGTCCCAGATACATTCACTGTCATCCACCCCAGCCATCAAAGAGACTATAGTACAGTTACTTTAGGATTGGAGGACACAATGATCCAAACGTTCATCTGGCTCCCAAATCCCCTCGTCAGGCAGAGCTGGAGGAGCTCTAAGTCTGCAGAATGAAGGTAGTCCGCCTTCAACACTGACTTAACAAGCAGCTTTGCAATCTGCCTTTGTGGAATTTTCAGTGCAAGAATTTATGGTAAATTCATGAAGGCCATCTTTAGCTGCAAACTTTATTTCTAAAATTTTTAGCTCTAGTCAGAACAAATGCAGAGAGGAAAACAAGGAGAAATAAAAACCACAAGAAGATGCTAGAAATCTTCTTCATGAGAAATGTATGGTTGTTCAATATGTGAAAGGCTGACATTCTTGGGGCTTCACTATCTGAATAAGCTGCCTCCAAAATGGAAGGTAAATCATCGCCCAAGGAAGAAGATTAAGATCACTGAAGCCTCCCACACCAGATGTAACAGGCTGGGCAGTTACGCCTGTGATGGGAGAACCACACCGGGGAGTGATTTGCTAACAGTCAAAAGTGGGAGAACATAGCAGTTACTGTCAATTTGGGCTAAGAGGCAATTATAGATTCAATTTCATTCAAGATGGTAATTCTTAACTTCATTTTTTTTAATGTAGGACCGTAGTCTATATCCTGAGGATTTTTCCCCCATTTCTTTTTTCCTAAAGAAAAGCATTCTCATAAACTGTCATGTAGGTTAACTGGTGGTGCTCAGAAGAGTCATGAATTTTACAGGCAAAATGGCACGTAAAAGGTGAATGAGAAAAAAAAGAAAGCATCACATTTAAGTCAGGTCATCGCAGTCTGGATTAATCACTCCTCCTCTGTTCTCTCGGTGCATGGCTCATACTTTCATTCAAGAATTTATCATGTTGTGATGTCATGGACAATCATCCGCTTCTAGGACTCCTCCTTCCCTCAGGACTCAGCTCCCTGAGGCCAGGGCCTCTGTTTTATTCTTTCTCATAAACTCCCTTGCCACTCCATATATGCCCAGTGTACATTAATGCACTATCAGTGATTACTGAACAAATACCCTCCAGGTCCTATACTAGTTCCAGTGGCACATATGAAGTGTAAACTCATTTTGTACTTACTGTGATGGAGATTTGAATCCAGATCCAACTGAGTCCAATACCCTCGGTCTTAAGCCCTTTGTAAACCTGCCTTTCCTGAGAAGGATTGATCAGTGAATGGGAGACGATATCAGCTTTCCTGCTCCCCAAATGGCTGCTTCTTCTCCATCACCTTGCTGGTTCTTCCTCATCCCCCCACCCAGCCCCTGGAATTTACAAGGCCCCAGGGTTCAGTTCTCAGGCTCCTTCTCTGTATTTACACGTCATGATCTCATTCAGTCTCATTTATAGGCTGACCACTCCCATTTGGGCATCCTGGACTCTCCCCTGAATCCCAGATGTGCATGCATATTTGACTACCTCCTGGACCTCTTCACTTAGATGTCTAACAGCAACCTCAAATTTAATGTGTGATTTGAATGATCTTGACATTCTTTTTTTTGATATACCAAAGTAATAAATGCTGTTTATGACTTAAGTTTACATAGTGCTCCAACATATTAATACCCTCTGAGCTTCAAAAAACCAAATACATTTACAGGAGTATTATCAGTCACCAAAATGACAAGGAAGGAAACTTTACCTTGCGAGAATGCACAGATGTTCTCATTAAGGCAGTATTGACCCAGACGATCATTTTAGTATCTGTCAAGATGGATATAAGCGTCTCTGAGCCCCAGGAACAGAGGAAGAACAGAAGCAGTTAACAGCAATGGGGAGCACGGCCCATTAGCTTGGCCCCTACGATCCCCTCATGTTGTATCCACGCCCCACACAGGAACTAGCATGGATGGCGTGGATTTCACAAAGTGAATTCACTACAGTCTCCACTGAGGATAATTCTATCAGGAGAGACTTGAAATACTAGTTTCAAGAAATGCTGAGAAGTGGGAGGAAGCCTTTGGTAAAAACATGAAAAAGTCTCCAAAGTCTTTTGGAAGTGGGCAGCATCAGTAGCGAATCAGCTGCTCCAGGAAGGCGTCAGAAAGGAAGATTTAATGTCCTTGTCACCCATACAGACGTCACCGTGATTTCGCTAAAGTCCAAATCGGTTCACATAACCCCCTTGCTTGAAATCCTTTAAGGGCTCCTCACCTTACATGGGATTGGGCCTCAATGCCCCAGCAAGGCACGCAAGGCCTTTAGTGGGCTGAATCCTCACCTGTCCGTCTCTCCAACCTCTCTACTCCCACCCACCCACCTCAGCAACAGGGACCACAGACAGTTCTCCAAACACATCTTTCCACCTTGCTCATGCTACTCCCACTCCCTGGAACCTTCTTTCCCAGGAAACCCTGACTCAGTGCATCCTCTGTGCAACTCCCCATGACCTTTCCTCTCTCCTCCACAGCAAGAGGAGCTCCTTTATCTTCTGGGTTCCTAAAACCCTTTGTAGACACCCTTCTAATCTAGCCCATGACAGCATAATTATTTGTTAATTGCTTTGTTTCCCCAAAGGTCTTCAAGGGGAAAGCCTGAGGTCTGAGCTTTCTAAATCCTTAATGCCTAACATTATGACAGGAACATGGTAACTGTTTAGAAAATGTTTGATGAATGAATGAAGGTTTGCCTGCTAAGCCTCTGCCAGAAAAATGTGAAAAACAGAATGTAGTTACACCAACATTCCACTAGAGGGAGGGATGTAAAACTTTATCCCCTCTAGTGTAGCATTTTAGCCTTGTTCTCAGTCAGATGAATATAATCTGATAAAATATTTCAGTTTTAGGCTAGACCTAATATAAAACAACCTCTGATAAGCTTGAGGAAACGTAATTATTACAGGTCACTCTATGCCAGGCTCTGGGTTTGACAATGGGTAGTTCTTCTGGGTACAGATGAATAGAAAGGGTAGGCACTATATATAAACAGTGTTTTACATTTTCAAGTTATGTAGAGTGCATTGAAACGCATTACAGAGCTTTTCTCCTTTCAGACATAATCTTGTTATCTAAAACATGCTCCACCTAGAAAGCTCATTGCTCCTTACACAATAAACGCTGTGGAATCCTATGACTACCCAGCTTTCTAATTTCCTGTTGCCCTATATCCCTCATATCCTGTCTTGAACACACACACATGCTGTTCATGAAGTCAGCTGAAACAATTCATACAGCCTAAAATCTAGAATCTAGATTAATCTCAAGTTCAATACCGATGTTCAATGAACGTGACAGACTGACAAACGCTCAAGGGCAGCAGATGACCCTCCCCCCCAGCCCCCAACCCCCAGCAGCCCCCAAACCCTGACCGAGCTGCTTCCTTAGCACCCAGCATCTATCAGTTTAGCATTTATCACAGTGTATTGTAATAGTCTGCATACTTATCCATACCTGGGTGAGGCTGAGAGCTCCTTGAAGAGGCTGGACTGGATCTTATTCTTTCCCCCAGCCTCAGCTGCTAGCACAGCACCTGGCACATGGTGTTTAGTACATTTTTTTAAATGAATAAATGAGCTCATTTCATTATACGGGTAGCAAGAGACTGATTTCTGCCAGCAGTCTCAGGAAGAGGCTGGATGGCTTTGGGGTGTATACAGACACGTATGCATACATGTGGTGGAGGAGACTGTCTGATTTGAGGCAACTAGCAGACAGATGTGTGGGTGCACACACACTTTCCCCAGAATCTTCCCAAATCAGTAGCTACGGTGTCAGAGCTTTCATAATTAGAGAGTCATACCTTTGGATTATATATGGCTCCTTGTCAACATATCTTGAACACATGTGCCCTTGTCATCACTTATATTATCACATAAATTTCAAAACTCAAACTTCCCCAGCATCTGATCTGTATCCTCAAATTGTGCTCCTTCCCCACCTTCCCATTCCTGCTCTGTTGAGAATCTCAGACAGACTCCTGTTTACTTTCTGTGGTTTGTATTAGGACATAGTTTGTCTTTTCAAATACATCACCATATGTCAAATAAGCTCTTTCAAATCATGTACACCATAATATTTGCAAGGGATTAAAACACATCAATTTGTATAATTCCATGAGTTCATAATGATACTCAAAATTTTTTTAAAAACTTGATTGGTCAACATTAGAAGATCTAGTGAATTGACTCCTTGTGTTGAAAATTAGTAAATGAAGGGAGAGAATCAAGCATTTCTTCTGCTTTTCCTATACAAACAGCACCACTGGGTAAGCAAAATTTAGGGGAAGGAAAAGCTTGCTTTCATAGAAATAGTCCAGCAAGTAAGTGAAGAAGAAATGATAGAATATCACCTCATGATAGAATTAGAATGTGACCTCTAATGAATTAACCAATTTAGACATTGACTACCAATGACTGGTAACATCACAGAATGAAAGGCAACCAGACGGTATACGCCTCCTGATGGAAGTATAAAATATTAGCTATAATGAAATCTGATCAAAGTTCTAAATCCCACAATGTATTCACGAGAAACACAGAGAACAGCAGAACATGTTCAACTAACAGTGTAAAAAAAAAAAAAGACAATTATGAGACAATCAGAAATCTGAATACTGACTGGTTATATGATGATATTAAATAATTGTTATCACCTTTTTTTTTAGGTGAAATAGTGCTATTGTAGCTATGTTAAAGAAAGAACCCTTATCTTTCAGATATTTAAAAATAAATATTTACAGATAAAATAATACAATGTCTGGGATTTGCTTCAAAAATAATACGGGGGCGGGAGTTAGGGGTAGTGTGTGGGCATACAAATGAAACAAGATGGCCTTGCATTGAAGCCGAGGGATGGGAACATGGGAGTGTGTTATACTGTTTTGTCTACTTTTGTATATGCTTGAAATTTTCCAAAGAAAAAGTTTTTAATAAAGAAAAACTAACACTTTTCTGAATATTCTGACCATCTTGTCCTAAGGGACAGCCACCCCCCTCCCACCCCTTGAGATCGTTATCCTAGGGAGTCTCCCCGAATTGAAAATACCCAAGTAACATTAATTCATCAGCCTCTCTTTACAAACTAGTACAAAAGATTATTTCCTGGACTGTTTTTACCCCTGAAAATACTGAGTCCCTGAGGGCAAAGGTCAAAGAAAACCCTGCAGGAGGGAAAAGGAAGGGCTGAGTGTGGGAAGAAGAAAAGGAAGAACAAATTTTGCCTTTATTACAATTTTCCCAGGGCCTTCACTAGTTGGCACATGCATCTTCTTTGTGTGGGTTTTACTAAGAGAACTTTCACTGGAGGCATGAAAAATATGTTTAAATTCCGAACTCTCAGGTTAAAATTTCACAAAGCATACCCTTTTATGTTGTCAAAGGCTAATATAAATATTTTCAGAAGCGGGCTCAGTGAGCCAATGATGAGACCACTTGGGTGGAGCTAGGGCACAGTTCTGTCTGAACCTGGGAACAGTCTAGACCTGTCCATAGGACTACAATGACATGGAAACCAGGAGAGAGTAAAGAGTCACATCAAGTGCTCAAGAGTATAGCTTTTCATAGCAGATCTCTGGAAGAACACCAAGAAACTGGTTGCCTCTGGGGAGGGAAGCTGGGGCACTTGGAATAGGGTGGGAGGAGAAAAAACATTGTATGACTTTATTGTCATAGCGCCTTGATATGTATGATGACATTTGCAAACAGCCTTTTGTTGACGTAAGTGACTGTACTTTTTATCTTGAAATTAGACAGAAGACAGATGTCTCTTTGTTTATGGGTTCCTTGGCTGGGCCATCTGCTGGCACTACCTGCTGTTTGCATATTTTCTTGATACTCCCTCCCCTCGCCTCCCTACCCCACCCTAACCTCCCAGAATCTAACCACAAAAATAGGATTTTAATAGTTCTAGTGCGACTTCTATAGGTGTGACATGGTATTGGACAAAGCTCAGATTCTCTCACAGACGCTCCTCTAATAGCAGAGCCAGTGAACACTGTCTTTGATGGCTCCTATTTCACCTTATTCAGGTGAATTCTGTGGTTTATGATTGACATTGTAAGTTACTATTAGAAAAAAAGTGTCTCTGTGTTTATCCTGTGGTTTTTAAGGATCCCTGCACACTCTGCCTGTCTCTAGAGTATTCAGTCCAGTTGCATTGTTTTTTCCTCTTTGTTTATTGAGATTATTATTTACTTGCATTAAAATGTACCCATTTTAAAGGTACAGTTTTATTAATTTTGGTAATTGTATACAAGGTGTAACCACCACCACGATCCAGATATAGAAAAGTTACTTACCCTTTAAAAGTTTTCCATCCCAATTTGCCCCAATTCAGTTTTGAGACACTTTACTGAGTTTTACTGCTTTCTCTAACATCGACTCTCCGGGTGATTTAGGAAAGGAACTTTACCTCTCTGGATGTGTTTTTGCTTTTATAACATGAAAAATGCCAGAAGACATTTGTTACCAGGGGCTCTTGCAATACTTTCAGAAAATGAGGGGGTAGGGTAAGGGCGGGAATCTCAGCCTTGCGTCCCCATTCTTCACATAGCACACGCATGTGGCAGATCCTAGTGGGAAAAGCCTGTGGTCGCCTGTGGTTTCCATCTCCTCTCTTGCTAGTGTGTATGTAACCTTTCGTAAGCATCAGCTTTCTCATCTCCAATATCAGGCTTATTAACAAGGCCTATTTGTTTACTGTTGTGAGGATGAACTGAGATGCGCCGGCAGCCTTAAATGTTAGTTGGTATTTGTATTATGGCATAATATAAAGGCACTGCATTCAACCATCTCGGTTACTACACGTTTATGCAGTCTGATTCTCACAGCCAAAACAGACGCACAAAGTACACTCACCCATTTACCCACCTGGGGAGGCCCAAAGCCTGCCTGCCGGCCTTCCTTACAGGGCTCGGAGAAAAGCTGCGCACGCGTGCATGCGCTTCCAAAGAGCCTCGCTAGGGGCCGGAATGGGAAACAGGAAGTTCTAACGCCTGTCGTACAAGCGCGACGTAAAGCGGGTCTGCTTTACGGCACCCTGCTTCCGCCGTAAAGCGCCGTCGGAAATCCCGCGTGAGTGGGTTGACGAGACTACTTCCAGGTGGAAAACGCGGTTCTTGGAAGCTGGCTGACTTGACGTCTACCCCATGGGCAAGCGCAGGAGCCGGAGCCAGAGCCAGCTGCTCAACTCCCTAACCAAAAAGCAGAAGAAGCATCTAAGGGATTTCGGCGAGGAGCATCCCTTCTATGACAGGTATGGAGAGGCAAGGCTGGGACCGGCGCTGCCGGCGTCCTTTCCCGGTGGGAGCCCGCGTGTCCCCGCGTTTGGTCCGCCGGTGCCCGGGGATAGTGACAGGGCAGCTCCCGCCGCGTCCCACGCTGCCCCGGCGCCGGCCTAGCTCGCCCGGGGATCCTGGCGGCTTCCCGCCTGAGATGGGGTTCTTCACCGGTCTTTCTACCTTTTGTTTAGCCGGTAGCTTTATGCTAGACGGCACGCCTCCTGTGTGGCGACTGGGCAGAGATTTTATAAGCTTGTTTTCGTTTTATATGTTTTTAAAGAATTGCTTGGGGGCTTCCCTGATGGCGCAGTGGTTAAGAATCCGCCTGCCAACGCAGGGGACAGGGGTTCGAGCCCTGGTCCGGGAAGATCCCACACGCCGCGGAGCAACTAAGCCCGTGCGCGCGCCACAACTATTGAGCCTGCACTCTAGAGCCCGCAAGCCACAACTGTTGAGCCAGGGTGCTGCAACTACTGATGCCCGCGAGCCTAGAGCCCCTGCTCCGCAACAAGAGAAGCCACCGCAATGAGAAGCCCGCGCACCGCAACAAAGAGTAACCCCCGCTCGCCACAACTAGAGAAAGCCCGGGCGCAGCAACGAAGACCCATAGCAGTCAAAAATAAATTAATTAAATAAGTTAAAAAAAAAAAAGAATTGCTTGGGACCCTCGACATCACCGATCTATTCAATGACAATGAGGAAACTAATGTTTGGGTAGTTGTGGGTTCCTCTATAAGTGTCCAGACTCTCAGTTATGATCTTAGCGCTCATCCCACCACTTTGAGCTGCTTTATCAACAGTTAGAAGGATAGTCTACTTAAGAAACTTGCTAGAAAAGGTGAACCCCGAGGGCTTTTATTTGCCAAAATTTCCCATCTTTTGGATGAGAGCCTGTTACTGTGTGACTGTAGTATTTGTCATGTGGTCTTGTTAGACTTTTTCATTTGTCTCTTATTATCTGTTTGGCATATTGTTACAAAACCTGTCCAAATGCATATGGAGTTTTTACTTGACAATAGATATAATGTATTTATAACAGTATAGTCTGCCATGTTCATTTAAAGTTGTATGATTAGACTTTTCCTAATTGCTACATGCTGGTAGTTAAAGTTTAACATTACCTGTTTCTTCTCAGGGTTTCCAGAAAGGAAGCAAAACCACAGACTTGTCAACTGGTAATGCTTTATAACTTCTTTATGATAGTTGATTCTGGACTGTTACTTTTAAGACTATATATAGTAATAAAGTTTGGCTATATTTCCACTCTTTGATTTTAGATGTAAGCTATATTTTAGTAATATTGCTTAGTTTTAAGTGCAGATGTCTGTTAAAATGCCATTGTGATAACTAATATAGTATAGAGTATGAAACTGTCCTGAGAGATAAGCCTGTTAGAACCTGTTAAGGAAGCTTACCAGAGGGCTCTTGGTGAATCCTAAGAGGGAACGTCTTGTTTGCTTAACATAAAATAGAGTGCAAAATCATCAAAGGTCTTATTTCATTACCACAGACTCAAAAGTAAACTACACTTTTTTGTTGTAAGTTTTCCTGTTGCTCTTTTAAAGATGCCACATGTCTGACACATAGGTTAGATCGCCTTATAACCTAAAGCTCCATGTGTTTAGTTTGCTGTCTTTCCATGTGGAACATTAGCAGTTCAAAGAAGAGGAAGAGCTTCTAGAATCATAGCTAGATAAGCTGTTTTAAACAAATTTGGTGCTAGATTTGGTTGAATAGATAGGATTGCATATTTGCAGAAAAGCTAGTGTTTATTTAGAAAAGTCTGAACTTGGTTCCACTGTGGGCCTGATAGTCGTGGGGTAGCAACAAGAACAATATAATTTTTGTTTTTAAAATCCCTATTTTCCTTTTAGTCAGAGAGTTTAGATACTTCAAGTTCTGAAAGTGAAGCAGAGAGTGAACCAGAACAAGTTTCTGGTTACAACAGACTACTTGCCACATTAAAGGATATTTCCAAGGAAGATGAGGAGGAGGAAGAGGAAGAAGACAGTGTTATAGATGAGACAGAAATGAATCTTGAAGATGGCGATAGTGACATCAGTGTGGAGGAAGAGACGGCAGTAGCGTCTACTGACGTGCAGAAGAGTAAGTGTCTTTGATGTGGGTTTATCATCTTTGCAGGGACCACAGACAGATTGCCCCAGGGGCATGGTGCCTTGTACTGTATGAGCTGGGTGAAAGCACATGGATTCAAAGCAGAGATTCTTAACATTGTTGGGCTCTGTGATATCGTCAAGAATCTGATGAAAACACAGGACCCTCTGGCCATAATAATGCAGAAATGACATTTTTGCTTATGATTTCCAGGATTTCATCAATCCTAGTTCAAATTCCCCTGATTGAGAGGAAAGGGAACATAATTCTGTTTTTGTAATGGTCTCAATTTATGAAAGATTATTGTTCCTCCGCTAGAGGAACCAAGTTTAATGGAAGATAGACATAAAATATACAAAACTTTTCAAGCATCAAATTTGAATGGAACCGATAAAATATAAGGTGTTAAAGAGATGCAAAGTGGTCACATGCTGCCAGGGTAAATGAGGGGAGGCTTCAGAGAAGAGCTGGGATTGAAAGCTTCAAGGAACTCTGTCTCACTCAGACATCTAGGTGACTATTTTTTTATTATTATTATTTATTTATTTATTTTTGGCTGCATTGGGTCTTTGTTGCAGTGTGCCGGCTTCTTACTGTGGTGGCTTCTCTTGTTGTGGAGCATGGGCTCTAGGCACGTGGGCTTCAGTAGTTGTGGCACGCGGGCTCAGTAATTATGGCTCGTGGGCTCTAGAGTGCAGACTCTGTAGTTGTGGCGCACGGGCTTAGGTGCTCCGCAGCATGTGGGATCTTCCCAGACTAGGGCTCAAACCCACGTCCCCTGCATTGGCAGGCGAATTCTTAACCACTGTGCCACCAGGGAAGTCCCCATAGGTGACTTTTTAATTTAACTTTAAAGTCATCTTTATTGAGGTATGAATTACATTCAACAAGGTGTACCCTTTTTAAGTATGTAATTTGATAAGTTTTGACAAATGTGTATATCTATATTGTCACCACCAAAGTCAAGATACAAAACACTTCCAATACCTACAAAAGGTTCCTTCTTGTCCTTTTACAGTCAGTTTCCCAGGCCTGACATCAGGCAACCACTGACATCTTTCTTTCTGTATGTATTAGTGTTTCCTATTCTAGAAATTCATATGAATGGAAGCATACAATAAGTACCCTTTTGCGTGTGGCTTCTTTGGCTCCTCATGTTGTGACTCATCCGCATAGTTCATGTTAGTAATTCATTTCTTTTATTACTGGAATAGTAGTCCATTGTCTGAATATATCTGGGTAACTTTTTATATCCTATTATCTTAATGCCTATTTGCCTTACTGTATTTTTTTCTATACTTTAAGGTGTCACACACCATTCTTAGTATTTTAATTTATCACTTGTACTGGGATAAAAAACTCGTTGCCTCAGACTTAGGGGTTTTTTTGTTTAATTTTGTTGGTTTTCCAGTTTTCTTTCATGTTTTGGGTTTTTAAAAATGAAAAGTTTGTTTTTTTTAATTATAAAAGTAATATATATTTACTGTAAAATTTAAGAGGGTAATATAGTTAACGTATATCTCCTCCACCCTGAGATGAACACCTTTAACATTTTATAGAACCTTCCAGACTACATTTTTATGGATATGAGTGAATACAAGTATCTACATATATTTGTGTGTATGTGCATAATGGTCTCGTACATTTCTGTAACTTACTTTTTTTCTTTAATAATATAACGTGTGTAACTGTGGGTTCACATTAGCTTAATCACATAGTATTCCATTGTAAATAATATGTGGTAATTTAATTAGTACCCCATCGATAGAAATGACAAAATCATTTTTTTTCTAGTTATTTGTTATATCAACGCTGATTTGAACATCTTTACATGTACCGGGTCAGTAGTCAAGCTCAATTTTGAAACTTATGTCTTCTACCTGAATTTGCTTAAAAGTAAATGATAGCCTAAGGAATTCGATTTCATTTGTCAACAGAAGTGTAATTATATTTATGAGTAGTAAATAATTTCACAAAATGTTTTATCAAAACTGCAGATGCAGCCTTACCTGCTGACCCTAAGGGAAAAGATGGGCACGGGCCACCTGGCACATTAGAGGAATCCCCAGAGGAGTTTACAGATGCAAAACATGAGTCACTCTTCAGCCTAGAAACCAACTTTCTCGAAGAGGAAAGAGAAGGCAACTGTTCTCTGAAAGCATTACAAGGTCACAGCACAGCTCGTGATGTTTGAATTCAGCTGGTGCTTAGTATGGGTGGTTGTGGTCTAATACCTGTTAAATCTCCTGTTATTGGAATGAGCAGTAATAGAAACAGATAGTTTAGCAGCTAGATGTAGAGCTGGAAAGAAATGCTTCTCCAAGATCTTTTGTGTTTTTCAGGGTTAGGCAGTGTTGGGAGTGGGCGCGGCTGTTCAGGAGAACAAACAGTTGAAGAATGATAGCAGGGAAGGCCAGTTCCCCAAAGCTCACATCCACAGCTGGAGTCAGGGGAAGACTTCTGATTTTTTTCCCCAAGCAGGGAAGGGAGAGAAAGAGGAGAAAAGTACTTTGCAATTTTCTCTCTATCCTTCACTTGCTCTTCCTCATTGGAGCAGTAATTTTCCAGATTTGTGAGACCCGGCAGTGGCTAATCTGATTGGTCCTTATTACCAGGAAGCACCTCAGAAGCCAGAAAGCTCCACCCTGTCTCCCCAGTCTCTCTCTTTATTTTTGGCTGCATTGGGTCTTTGTGGCAGTGGGCGGGCTTCTCGCTGTGGTGGCTTCTCTTGTTGTGGAGCACAGGCTCTAGGCACGTGGGCTTCAGCAGTTGTGACACGCGGGCTCAGCAGTTGTGACACACAGGCTCAGTAGTTGTGGCTCGCGGGCTCTAGAGCACAGGCTCTGTAGTTGTGGCTCACGGGCTTAGTTGCTCCGCAGCATGTGGGATCTTCCCAGACTAGGGCTCGAACCCGTGTCCCCTGCATTGGCAGGCGGATTCTTAACCACTGTGCCACTGGGGAAGTCCCCATAGGTGACTTTTTAATTTAACTTTAAAATCAACTTTAATGAGGTATGAATTACATTCAACAAGGTGTACCCTTTTTAAGTATGTAATTCGATAAGTTTTGACAGATGTGTATATCTATATTGTCACCGCCAAAGTCAAGATACAGAACACTCTGGGCCATGCCTCTGTCCCCATGACTGTCACTTAGACAAGCCTCTGGTAGGCTGAGACAGGGCTCTGCTGTCTCTCAGATCCCTGTGTCTTAGCCTGTGCCTGGGTGGGCGAGTCAGGTTGGTCTCATTCTGTGTCCTGACTGCCTTTTTTTTGGTCCCAGTGCCATTCTTCAACCAGCTGTGCCATTGAAGTTGAAATTTTAATCCTCCTTTGGTTCTGTTAGCTATTCTAGACAAGAGGAAGAAGTAGCAGGTAGAATTTGGGCACAAACTGCATTCTGAACTCAAAAAAACTTAAAAAAAAAAACCTGGAGGAAACACTAGGAAGCTTGACTATCCTGAAGTTTCTCTGGTTGTTTGGTCTGTACTGATATATTATTACCTAGAATTCTTATTTCCTATTGTTCACCTTTATCTTAGGTCTTAATGTAAGGTGCACTGCATTTGAAGTTTTACTACCTGGGTCCTTGATTGGGTCATTTAACTTTGCTTCTTACATGAGTGGGACTGGAAGAGAAGATTGGGTGGCCAGCGCAGAGCACTGATACCCTGAGCAATGACCCTACCATTTTGATCATTTGTTCACCTCAGTTGAGTGTTGAGCATTTATATTTGTCTTCCAGTGCAGGTTAAATCAGACATGGAATCTGCCCTCAGGGATCTTGCAGTCTAGTTAGGTGAGGTAGGACATGCACATATATGTGTTGGTGTGGATAACTGAGGGCAGGGTGGGGCACTTGAGAGAAAGTGATGACTGTCTGTAGGGGACCAGAGATGGCTTCTTTGGAGCCAGAACTGTGCCTGACACAGTAGGCTCCTGGGAAATAGCTATTTATTGTGATAGCTATAGGGGGTATAGCTATCACAATAGGGGGTAACATTCAACTGATACTATTTGGATATATAGAAATGTGGTGAACCAGAGAATAGAATTTTCAGTTAAAGGAAGGAAAGCCACAGTGGCAGAAGAATTTGAGAGCCATGTAATTCAAAAATTACATTAGAGAGGTAAGTTAGAGGTGTATGTTGAATTTCAGACCGAGACGTTTCTTCAGAGGTTTTTGAGCTGGGGAATAATGTGATTAAAGAAATGCTTTAGGGAGATGAACCTGTCAGAAACTTTTAAGCTCTGGACTGGGATAAATGATGGGGAAAGTTGATGGGGAAAAAGATGAGTTAACATCATGAAAACAGGATGTCATTCACAGGGGAAGACTGGAAAATCCCTGTCATTTGCTTTAAGTGTTCTAATATTCTTTATTTCTGAATTAGATCCATTTGCACAACATGTAAACAAAGAACTGAAAGAAAAAGAAATCCAGGCTGTTGCCACAAATCCCAAAACTACCCACCAACTAAAAGTAAGCATTGTTTCATCATCACAGTCACAAATGGAGAAAAGCAATGGTCTTGGGTTTTAGTGGTCTCCCTGAATGTATGATACACACCTGTGGCAGATGGCTTGATAGGAAGCAAGACAGAGGAAGACTGGAAGAGCCCAGTAAGGCACAGACATAGCTAACAAAGGCACTGGGAAGCTGGAAGGTGGGGACCAATGAGATAAGAATGCTTTGGAGACAGGTACACCAGGGTTTAGACCAACGTCTGCAACAGGCTATCTCATGACCTAAGGCAAGTTAATCTACCTTTTTAATCTCCACTGTTCTCATCTGTTAGAGGGGGACAGTAATGCCTGCATCAAAATAAAGTATTTTACTGGAAAATACGTACAAAGTGTTCAGTCAAATAGTAGCTACTGCTGTTCATTTGTTTGAAATATCTGAGATAAGTTCACACCTAAATTATTCAGTATGGAGCAGTTTTTGCTTCTTTTTTCGGTGATATTTTTTTACCACTGATGCTATTCATAAGAGTTGGTCATCCTTGTTTCCTTGTTTCATTGAAATTTTTATTGAGATAATAATTATAGATGCAGTTGTAAGAAATAATGCAAAGGTATCCCGTGTGCCCTTTGCCCAGTTTCCCCCAGTGGTAGCATCTTACAAAACTGTAGTACAATATCACAAGTAGGAAATTTCCACTGATACAATCTACCTGTCTTATTCAGATTTCCTCACTTTTGCTCCTGCTCCTTTGTGTTATTTAGTTCTGTACTGTTTTATCACGTGTAGGTTGCCCTGGCCACCACCACAGTCAACATACAGAGCATTTCCAGCACCAAAGATCCCTCCTCTTCGCTGGTGCCATTTTATAATCACACCCACCTCCCTTCCCCCATTCCTAACCCTTGGTAACCACTAATCTGTTCTCCATTTGTATAATTTTGTTATTTCAAAAGCGTTATACAAATAAAATCATACCGGTTGGCTTTTTTCACGCAGCATAATTCCCTGGAGATTCACCCAGTTGTTGGCATATATCAATAGTTAATTCTTTTTTATTGCAGAGGTCATCCTTTCTTTATTGCTAAGATCAGCTGTTTTGTTACAGTGCAAAAATTCCCAGACTGTTATTCCACAAAATATTATTCTTTACGATTCTAATATATGTCTCCCCCCAAAAAAAAAATCCAAAACAACAATAAAAACCTTGTTCCATGTCCAAGTAAATTTGGAAAACTCTGGGTCAAACGAAGTGGAACAGAGTCCTTGTTACAGGACTCAGCAGAACCTTTAGTGTCTGATCTGCATGTGACTCTCCCTGAGGGGGATTAGGTTTTGTGGTGTTTACCGAAGTTATTTGACCGTCGGGCCCCCTTTTCTTTTGTCTAGAGTAAATTTTGACTTCCTACAGTGTGGTCCACAGGACAGTTTGTGACCCACTGATCTAGTGAAGAGCTCACAAGGTTTCTAAAGTCAGAAACCTTGGGCTCTAACCCTTAGCTCTGTTCTCCCCTGTTTGTCTGAATCCTATAACCTCTGAATCTCAGCATTTCCTAAACTGCAAGAAGAGCATTATAGTGTTTACCTTGTAGGGTTGTTGTGAGGATAAAGTGAGAGGATCTGTAAGTTGTGAAAGGCCTTGGTAAATTATAAAGCACTATATGAATGTAAGGTACTATAATTCATTTCTAACTTAGTTCTTGATCATTCCTCCCACAGTGGCCCATCCTGGGCCAGCTTGTCTTTTCATCCAGGTTTCAACAGTTGGAAACCTTTAAACCCCCAAAGGACATTGACTTAAAGTCACTTCATCTCCAGAAGCCTCTGGAATCCACCTGGATCAAGACCAACAGCCGGTTCCTCTCTGGCCCCCCAAATTCAAGTAGCCCCTTCACACCCCTCCAGAAAGAGCTCTTCTTAATTATGAATTCTTACCGGGACCTATTCTACCCAGAAAGGACTGCCCTGAAGAATGGGGAAGAGATCCGCCACGTGTACTGCCTGCATGTGATAAATCACGTCCTCAAAGCCAATGCCCAGGTGCTTGCCAACAACAGCAGATGCCGAAGCCAGAAACTTGGGGTGGGTGATGATGATGACTTCAGGGACCAAGGGCTAACGAGGCCCAAGGTGAGTGGCAGCAGCAGAACTTTGCCCTCAAGGAGGCTGTAAGGCACTAACATATAGGTCCTGGCACTTAGCAGGTTCTCAGATGTTTTAATGATTGGAATAATGAATGAGTCCAAGAATGAGCGTATTAGATGGGCCAGGTAATGTCAGAGAAGTGCTGCAGACAGCTCAGTGGACTGTCTCTAACAGCAGATCTAACTGGAAACTGGAGCAGGAGGTACCTCCATGATAATTCTCTCCTTAAAGATAAACCCTGTTCCTACCTAAGTAACACTCCACTATAAATCTCTTCTTTGTGATTGTGAGAGCTGGATGGGACCTTAAGGAGCCTTTTATTCAATCCCTACTTATTACACCTGTGGACAGAGACCAAGGACTCTCTTCACTAAGCCACATAAATATGTAAACCTTGGAAAACAAAATCCCTATTTTTGCATTGTATCATTATTGCTGCTTAAAGTGATGATTACATTTATGTGGGCTCATAAGCCTAAGCTCCAGTGGATTGGGGGCTTACATCTTTTAATTCTGTCTACATTTTTCATGATGTCCTGGAGGTAGATTCTGTGCCGCCCATACCCCCTTACCCCTTAGCCTCTGTGTCTATATTGAAGAAGCCTCATCTTCTTAGATTCTTCTCATTGAGCTTAATAGGATTTTAGGATTTTAATACTGATATGGCTCTTAGAGATTTCTTAGTCCAACCCTCTTGTTTGATAGTTGGGGAAACCAAAGCCTAGACACTTACTTAGTGTGACAGCCGGGACAGTAACTTGGCCCTCTTCAAAACTGATCCATCATCCCTGCACTGTACCAAACTGAATCACTACACCCATCTGGCTGTGCTGGTTGCCCTTCTGGGAAACTACCTCAGAATCTTGAACATCAGGATAATAAGATTATCTGTTTCCATTTAGAACTGCAAAATAGAGTATGAGGTAGATTACCCATGAATCACATTCAGAATTTGGTGAATTGCCTGATCTGACTGGGGTTATATCCATTGATTGTATTGTTTACACAAGGGTAGTTAGAAGTTAATCATTTGTTAAGCTTCTTCTGGTTTTTTTCCTCAACAGTTAAAATTAAGCACTTTTCGAAATGTTTGGAAAACTGAATCCTATATTTCCCATTGAAATATGATCTTATTTCAGAAATCCTTTATCATCATTTCTGAAAAATGTACTAGAAAAGTAATGATGTTTTAGTCCTCTCCTTACTAGCTTTATTCTCTACTTAATACATCTAATTCATTTGTTCAGCATATTCCTTGGGTCTTACGGATCAAAATACTGAACTAAGTTCTGTGGGAGACAGAAATGAGTAACATTTCTTGTCCTGAAAGAGCTTTGTGTGTTTATGCCCTTGGGTTTTTGCTAATGGACACCTCTGTTAAAGGCATTGACTTAACCTCAAAAAATATTTCTACATTCTGCTTAAGAATTGCCCCCCCCGCCCCGCAAGGAGCCATGAGATTGAAGTCCATAGGACATGGTGCTGTGGGTCGGAAAGATGCTCAGCCTTCAGTACTGAGCCAGGTCCTGTGTAAAGAGGGTGACACGGATGTGGTCCTTGGCCAGGGGCTGCGGAACAGAGGGCTCCTTAGGTCCTCAGCAGGCTCACCTCGAGCTGTCCTTCCTTCCCCTTGCCCGTCCAAGGCTGCCCATCACTCCCTCCACAGGTGCTGATAGTGGTGCCATTCCGGGAAGCTGCTTTGCGGGTGGTACAGCTCTTCATCAGTCTTCTTGAGGGCGACAGCAAGAAGAAAATAACTGTAAGCAACAAAAAGAGGTTTAATGGAGAGTATGGCTCAGATCCCGAGGAGAGACCACCCAACCTGAAGAGGCCTGAGGATTATGAAGCTGTATTTGTCGGCAACATCGATGACCACTTCAGGACTGGTAATTCCTCCTTGTCAAAACTGAGACCCTGAGGGACCTGAGGTGTGAGGTGCACATAGCTGGAAGCTAGAAGCCTGGAATTAGGCATTCTTTCAGAGGATCACTGACTCAGCCTCCTAGCAGAACCAGGATGCATTTGAGACGACTCGTCTGCCAGGGGAGAGTCTTGCGTTGGCTAATGGGGTACATACTTGGCTAATGGGTTGGAGTGTCTGTGAAGGCATGTATGAAAGGCACATGCATGTTTATAACAAATGTCTCAGCATGCCTATAGCTGGTAGCTCATGGTCAATGCTACAGGGGTTCTTGGGGGAGTTGGAGGTGATAGGGCTGGGTGGGTCAGTCTGGGGAAGATGAATAAACTAGAGCATCTGTACATAATGGACTTACCTCCTGCCTGCCATGTGGAGTGCCCACACCTGAATTATCTCCACTCTGGACTTACTGACTCCCACCCAGCTTTGCACATTTTTGCTTGTCTGTCATTCAGCTCCCATGTACTTGGCTGGTTGTACATTGAAAAAGTTCCTGGAAAATATTTTTAGTCACGTATGCCTATTTACCAATTATTAAGCATCTACTATGTGCCAGGCACTGTTAAGAAGCTGGAGATACGGGATTAAAAGTTACTGTTAAACAAGTCCAGCCTTAAGACAAATCAGACAGTATGGGATGAGATGTGTTATGGTTAGAGGATAGTGGGTGTTCTATTTAAAGTAGTTAAAGCAAATATCCTTACTCAAAATGGGCACAGGACCGTTAGGGAAGGCCTTCTGTTGGAGGTACCATCCATACTAAGTTGAAACCTGAGTAGGATTTAGCCAGGTACAAAGTGGGGTGATGAGAGTGGAAGAAAAAGTTTCAGACAGGAAACTGCATGTGTGGAGGCATCAGGGCGAATAAACCAAATAGACCTAAGATTCAGAGGCTGTAGCATGGCTGGAGTGTGCAGTGCAAGGGGATGAGAGCTTATGGTTAGTTTTGAACATATGCAGGTGGCCAACAAGCAGCTGATAGATCAGTCTTTTGTTTAATTGATATATAATTGACGTATTAGTTTCAGGTGTACAACATAGTGATTCAATGTCTATACCTTACAAACTTATCACAACAATAAGTATAGTTACCATTTGTCACCATACAAAGTTAATGCAATATTATTGACTATATTCCCCATGGCATACATTGGATCCCTGTGACCTGTTCACTTTATAACTGGAAGTTTTATACCTCCTGATCTCCCCCGTCCATTTTGCCCACCCTCCAACCCCGCCCTCCCTTCTGGCAACCACCAGTCTGTTCTCTGTATCTATCACTCTGGTTTTTTGTTTGTTTTGTTTTTTAGATTCCACATCTAAGTGAAATCACATGCTATTGATATTTGTCTTTGTCTGACTTATTTCACTTACTGTGATACTCTCAAGGTCTATCCTTGTTGTCACAGATGGCAAGATTTCATTCATTTATGGCTGAGTAATATTCCATTGTGCGTGCGTGTGTGTGTGTGTGTGTGGATGTATCCACATCTTTATCCATTCATCATCTGTGGACATGATCATCTGTGGACACTTACGCTGCTTCCATATTCCATATCTTGGCTATTATAAATGTTGCAGTGAATGTAGGAGTGCATGTATCTTTTTGAATTAGTGTTTTTTTTTCTTTGGATAAACACCCAGAAGTTGAATTGCTCAATTGTATGGTGGTTCTATTTTTAATTTTTGAAGAACATCCATACTGTTTTCCATAGTGGCTGCATCAATTTACATTTCCACTAACAATGCACAAGGGTTCCCTTTTCTCCACATCTTTGCCAGCATTTGTTATTTCTTGTCTTTTTGATAAGGCCTATTCTGAGAGGTTTGAGGTGATATCTCATTGTATTTTTTTTTCTCTCTATGCTTTGGTTAATAGCAACTTACAATACATGGTGGCTGTAAGAATTTATAACTCCAAAATCACAGCCTATCATTTTATATTATTTCATTTTGATCACAGCACTTACTAGCCACCTGATACATTCTTCTTCTTCTTCTTCTTTTTTTTTTTAATTGGAGTAGGTATAGTTGATTTACAGTGTTGTGCTAATTTCTGCTGTATGGCAGTGACTCAGTTATACACATATATACATCCTTTTTTATATTCTTTTGCATTATGGCATATCCCAGGAGATTGGATATAGTTCCCTGTGCTATACAGTAGGACCTTGTTGTTTACCCATTCTAAATGTAATAGTTTGCATCAACTAACCCCAGACTCTCAGTCCATCTCTCTCTCCCCACCCCTGACCTTGGCAACCACAGGTCTGTGAGTCTGCTTCTATTTTGTAGATAGGTTCATTTGTGCCATATTTTAGATTTCATATATAAGTGATATCATATGGTATTTGTCTTTCTCTTTCTGACTGACTCCTCTTAGTATGATAATCTGTAGTTGCATCCATGTTGCTGCCAAATGGCATTATTTGGTTCTTTTTTATGGCTGAGTAGTATTCCATTGTATATATGTATCACATCTTTATCCATTCATCTGTCAATGGACATTTAGGTTGTTTCCATGTCTTGGCTATTGTGAATAGTGCTGCTATGAACATAGGGGTGCATGTATCTTTTTGAATTATAGTTTTGTCCAGATATATGCCCAGGAGTGGGATTGCTGGATCATATGGTAATTATATTTTTAGTTTTCCGAGGAACCTCCATACTGTTTTCCATAGTGACTGCACCAACTTACATTCCCACCAACAGTGTAGGAGGGTTCCCTTCTCTACACACCCTCTCCAGCATTTGTTATTTGTAGACATTTTAATGATGGCCATTTTGACCAGTGTGAGATGGTACCTCATTGTAGTTTTGATTTCTCAGTGTGATTTTGATTTGCATTTCCCTGATGATTAGTGATGTTGAACATCTCTACATTTGACTGTTGGCTATCAGTACGACTTCTTTGGAAAAAATGTCTATTCAGGTCCCCTGCTATTTTTTAATTGGATTGTTTGGGTGTTTTTTTTTTTTTTTTTTTTTTCAGTACGCGGGCCTCTCATTGTTGTGGCCTCTCCCATTGCGGAGCACAGGCTCCGGACGTGCAGGCTCAGCAGCCATGGCTCATGGGCCTAGCCGCTCTGCAGCATGTGGGATCTTCCTGGACTGGGGCACGAACCCGTGTCCCCTGCATTGGCAGGCAGACTCTCAACCACTGCGCCACCAGGGAAGCCCTTTAATCCATTTTGAGTTGATTTTTGTAGATGGTGTAAGCTAGTGGTCCAGTTTCATTCTTTTGCATGTAGCTGTCTAGTTTTCCCATCACCATTTGTTGATGAGACTGTCTTTTCCACATTGTATATTCTTGCCTCCTTTGTCATAGATTAATTGACCATATAAATATGGATTTATTTCTGGGCTCTCTATTCTGTTCTGTTGAACTGTGTCTGTTTTTGTGCTATTACCATACAATTTTGATTACTGTAGACTTGTAGTGTAGTTTAAAATCAGGTAGTGTTATACCTTCAGCTTTGTTCTTCTTTCTCATAATCAGTTTGGCTATTCAGGGTCCTTTGCAGCTCTCTACAAATTTTAGAATTATTCTAGTTTTATGAAAAATGTCATGGGTATTTTGATAAGGATTGCATTAAATCTGTAGATTTCTTTGGGTAGTATGGACGTTTTTTTTTGAATTTTATTTATTTTTTTATACAGCAGGTTCTTATTGTCCATTTAATACATATTAGTATATACATGTCAGTCCCAATCTCCCAATTCATCACACCCCCACCCCCACCACCACTTTCCCCCCTTGGTGTCCAATATGGACATTTTAACAGTACTAAATCTTCCAATCTATGAGCATGGTGTATTTTTGCATGTTTGTGTCATCTTTAATTTCTTTCATCAATACCTTGTAGTTTTCCAAGTACAAGTTTTTTACCTTCTTGGTTAGATTTTTTTCTAGGTATTTTATTCTTTTTGATGCTATTGTAAATGGATTGTTTTCTTAATTTCTCTTTCTAATAGTTCATTATTAATGTATATAAATGCAACAGATTTTTGTTAATTCTGTATCCTGCAACATTACTAAATTTATTTATTAGTTCTGACAGTTTTTTGGTGGAGTCTTTAGGGTTTTCTCCATAAAGTATCATGTCATCTGAAAATAGTCAGTTTTACTTCCTCCTTTCCAATTTGGGTATCTTTTATTTCTTTTTCTTGCCTAGTTGCTGTGGCTAGGATTTCTAATACTATGTTGAATAAAAGTGGCAGAAGTGTGCATCCTTGTCTTGTTCCTGATTTTAGAGGAAATGCTTTCAGCTTTTCACCACTGAATATGATGTTAGCTGTGGATTTATCATATATGCCTTTGTTATGTTGAGATACATTCCCTCTGTACCCACTTTGTCAACCCATCCTTGCATCCCTGGAATAAATTCTACTTGATTATAGTGTATGGTCCTTTTAATGTATTGTTGGATTCAGTTTGCTAATAATTTGTCAAGGATTTTTGCATCTATGTTTATCAGGCATAGTAGCCTGTACATTTCTTTTTTTGTGGTGTTTCTGTCTGGTTTCAGTATCAGGGTTATGCTGGCCTCATAAAATGAGTTTGGAAGTGTTTCTGCCTCTTCAGTTTTTTGGAATATGTTTGAGAAGGATAGGTATTAAATCTTTAAATATTTCGTAGAATTTACCAGTGAAGCTCTCTGGTCCTGGTCTTTTGTTTTGGGGGAGTTTTTTGATTACTGATTCAATCACATTACTAGTAATTGATCTATTCACATTTTCTGTTTCTTCATGATTCAGTTTTAGAAGATTGTGTGTTTCTAGGAATTTATGTATTTCTTGTAGGTTATCTGACTTGGTGTATAATTGTTCATAGTGGTCTCTTATGATACTTTGTATTTCTGTAGTGCCAGTTATAACTTCTCTTTCATTTCTTATTTTATTTGGGCCCCTTCTCTTTTTTTCTTATTGAGTCTGGCTAAAGGTTTGTTAATTTTGTTTATCTTTTCACAGAACCAGCTCTTAGTTTCACTGATTTTTTTTTTTTTTTTGTCTCCGTTTCATTTATTCAGTATTTCTCATCTGGCTTTTATTATTTCCTTCCTTCTTTGTTGGAAGTTTTTTTTTCCTTTCAGCATATTCGAACATATCATGCCATCTCCTTCTGGACCACAAAGTTTCTGATGAAATATCAGCTGATATTCTTATGGGGATTCCCTTATCTGTAATTAGTTGTTTTTCTCTTGCTGCTTAAGATTCCCTCTTTACCTTTGACTTTTGACATTTTAATTATAATGTGTCTTGATATGAATCTCCTTGGGTTCATTTTGTTTGGGACTCTTGGTGCTTGCTGGACCTGAATGTCTGTTTCCTTCACCAGGTTAGGGACATTTTTAGCCATGATTTCTTCAGATAAGTTTTCTGCCCCTTTCTTTCTCTCTGTCCTCCTTCTGGGACCCCTATAATGTGGATGTTAGTACCCCTTTCTCTCTCTTCTTCTGTGACCCCTTAACACCGATGATAGTACACTTGATGTTGTCCCACAGTTCCCTTAAACTGTCCTCATATTTTTAAAATATTTTTTCTCTTTGCTGTTCTGTTGGGGTGATTTCTACTACCTTGTCTGCCAGGTCACTGATCTGTTCTTTTCTACCATCTAGTCGGCTGTTGATTCCCTCTAGTGTATTTTTCAGTTCAATTACTATAATCTTCAGCTGTGTGAGTTCTGTTCAGAACTTTCTTATATTTTCTATCTCTTTCTTGAGTTTCTCACCGTGTTCGTTCATTCACCTCCCAAGTTTGATGAGCAACTTTATGACAATGACTTTGAATTCTTTATCATTAAATATTTTTTCTGGGGTTTTATCTTGTTCCTTCATTTGGAACATGTTCCTCTGCTTCCTCACTTTGCTTGACTTTCTGTGTTTGTTTCTATGTATTATGCAAAACAGTTATTGCCCCCTGTCTTGAAGGAGTGGCCCTGTGTGGGAGATGAACTGTGTTTTTAACTTTTTCCTAGTTCTTGGTTGTCTTATAAATTCTCTCTCTGTTTGTTTCACTCCCATGGAGTCTAGAAATGCAGTCCCACCCCCATCTGCCTGAGCCTGGTGCTCAAGGAGTGTCCCCTGTGTGGGCTGCATGCGTTTGTTGCCTCAGGTCGTGTCCTGCAAGTGGCATGAGATGGGGTAGGCATGGCTGCTGGTTGGCCATGTTTGTCAGTGCTGCACAGAAGTAGTGCAGGGAAGTGGGGTAGGGGGTACTCACCCACCACCACTGTTAGCAACTTAGAGTGAGAGTGCAAAAAACGGCACCCACCTGTGCCATCACGGTAGAGGGAACTTGTAAAAGTAGCATCTGCCAGCATTCTGTCCCCAGAGAGAGTCCCAGCCAGCTTCTGCCCCTCTGGTAGGTGCTTTAAGATTAGCAAGTGAATCTCCTTCACGTATGATCTGGGCTCTCTACAAACTGCTACTTGTTGCTTAGGAGAGAGATGTGGGCAGGAAATATAAATTTTTGTGATGATAATGTCAAAGCCATAATTAGTGAATATATTTATCCAAAGCTTTATGTAGAGTGAAAGAGAACTTGTGGGTGAATCCAGGGATTTGTAGAAGAGCTCTTTGAATATGGAAAAATAGATAGGACCAGGTCAGTAATAGGAGAAGTAAGTGTTAAAGTCGTGGAAACCACCGGTAAGGAAAAGAACATTTCAAGGAGGGTGTGCTTATGCGTTTGTGACAAGAAACACTAAAGTGCCATTGAATTGGGAACTGAGAGCTGTTGGTGACCTTAGCAAGAGTCATTTCAGTGGTGTCCTGAGACTCAGAGGCAGATTGCAGTGCATTAAGGAGTGAGTGGGAGATTTTAAAGTAGAGACAATTTTCTGGAAGGTTTGCCAGTGAAGGAAAAGAAGAGGGTGGGAGCTAGAAGGGACCGTAGATGCAAAGGAGGGATGATGATGATGATTTTAATAATTAAAGCAGTTTGAGCACAATTATATGCAAAGGGGAAGATGTGGAAGGTACAAGGGGAGGCTGCAGTTTGAGAGGGTGGAAGCTAATGGCTTGGTGGTGACTCATGAACTGATGTGTGCTTGGCTGTTTTGTGTATAGGAGTGGCAATACTGCAGAGAAGCATCCGACTTTATGCCCCCTTCTATTCGTCAGACATCCTCATTGCCTCTCCTCTGGGCTTGAGGACCATCATTGGTGGAGAAGGAGAGAAGAAGAGAGATTTTGACTTTCTGTCTTCTATTGAGCTTCTCATCATTGATCAAGCTGACATTTACCTGATGCAGAACTGGGAGCATGTCTTGGTAATGCTGGTCATTAACATTTACAGACAAGAAGCTCAGTGGTTTGAGTCTGAAATGGTTATTAAAGTCCAGATTAAAACTCAGCTTGGAAATGGAAATATTCCACATTTTCCAATTTGAAAATGGGAAATGTTGTCCCCTCTTCTACCCACAAGTTGGTCAGTAAAGTATCCAGAAAAATAAAAATTCTTGTCAACATTTTCAAATCTCCAGAAAAGATTTCTTCCCCTTAAAAGTTGCTTCTAGTAATAGACCAGTTTAGTGTGGTTGGTTGGTTGGTTGGTTGAAATTCCTCCTCACCAGGAATGTTTTTATCTAAAACAGTTCCTCCTATTTATGCTCGTTCTCTTTTGTTTGGTCTTCTCTTCAGTGGAGATGGGAAAACATTGCTCATGGTTTCTTAATTTGTGATGCTTTGCAGAGAAATGTAAGATGTTTTTGTCCCCCTACTATAATTTGTGCTGTAATTTTTTTTCTCCCTCTCAACATACCCTGCAATGTTTTGGGGTTTAGGGTTGTGCTTTGGAACAATCCTCATCACAGAACTATAGGTTTATTTTTCTAAGGCATGTGAGAATTTACCTTTTCTGCAACCCCAGGACTTGGAGTAAGTTTGGGACAAATAAAGGGGAGTACTTATTTATAAAGTAGGGAAGAATCTTATAGTACTTGTGACCCTTCAATATACATTACAAGGTAAAAATATGATTAAAATAGAAAAGGCATGTCGATTGTTGAGTCATCTTTATTTTGAGCAAAAGGCACATGTAGTCACTCAGGGAATTTTCTAACATTGTTGGGAACTAAGTCATGGAAGGACAGCAGCTCTGTTTTCCATGTCATTTCCCTTCTTGTCCAAATCTGGAACTGAGTTGCTTATAGAGTGACCAGAGTGGCATTTCAGAATTTCCTTTAAAAGAAATATTCTGTATAGGTAGCATCTTGATCCTTTTTGAAAGATCCACGAGGTGGCCAGTTTGAGCTTTTCTTCTTGTTCACTTGACTATGGGCAAGTCACTCAGCCATCTGAGCCTGTTTTCTTGTAATTTGGGAGATGATAGTATGTACTTCATGGGGTTAAATAAGATGATGGGCTTATAGAAAGGTTAGCAATGCCCAACAGGTAACTGTTCAATAAGTATTAATAGAGTATTATTTCTGCTCAAAGCATTTGATGAACCACATGAACCTACTGCCCTTGGACTCACATGGGGTGGACTTTTCTCGAGTGCGCATGTGGAGCCTCAATAATTGGTCCAAGTACTATCGTCAGACGCTGCTGTTTGGGGCCCTGCAGGATGCCCAGATCAACTCTGTATTCAACAAGTACTGCGTCAATGTGCAAGGCCAGGTGGGTTCTCTCCTTCTTTCTCTGAATTTTCTTGAAGTATTGTGTATTGTTTGGGTCATGAGGCAGAAGGAGAGGATAGCATTTGGTCAACAATGGGGATAGCTCACTTCCTAATGTTCTCACTGACTCCTGGCAGGTGGCTGTGAGGAACGTCCCGATGACAGGCTGCATCAGTCATGTCCTGGTGCAGCTCCCACATGTCTTCCAGAGGATGGAAGCTGAAAACCTAGCTTCAGTGATTGATGCCAGGTACCCTCCCCTGTCCCATTGGACCCCTGGGGGTCACAGAGAGGGATTTTACTTGGGCATTCAAATTTAGAATTGTATTCCATGTTGGCTTTATTAGTTAACCATTTACAAAATGAAATGAGATAGTTGAATCCAGTCATGCCATTGACAGAGGAGGACACTGAAGGCCAGAGAAGTAGTGTCTTGTCCTAGTTCCAATAGTGGCAGGGTTAGTAAATCAGGGGTACTTTCCCCTAGACTGTGGCGTTTTAAAATTACATTAATTTTTTAATGCCGCATGTCAACAACTTAATTCTAAGCCCTTCAGGGCAAGATCTGTTTTTCTAATTCTCTATGTAATTTTCCCCTGTCTTCTCATTGTGTTTAGTCAGGGGACCCATGGTAGCAGAATGGTGCTTAACACATGGTAGGTGTTCAGTAATTATTTGTTGACTGACTGATTGACACCTGAATGAATGAATGATACAGTTATGTACTTCCTAGAATAATTCTCTGGGATATACCAGCATCACATCTATTCTTCATGATGAATAGTGTTAGCACTTGCTTTTTAATGTGCTTAACAAGTTTTATCCTTACATAATCTCTTTGCAATGAGGTAGGCCAAGTTGGCCTCTTAGGGGAGGTAGAAGGAGATTGTGACTTGCCCAGGGTCATGCAGTCGGCAGTGGCACTATGGCTCACCTCTAGACCACTGACTTTGCCCTTTGCCTTTCCAAATCAGGTTTAACTTTTTCGTCAACAAGATTTTGCCTCAGTATCGTGATGCAGTCATGTCTCACACGCTTATCTATGTCCCCTCCTACTTTGACTTTGTGCGTCTCCGAAATTACTTCAAGAAGGAGGACCTGAACTTCACTCATATCTGCGAGTACACCCAGAAGTCTGGTGTCTCCAGGGCCAGACACTTCTTCCTTCAAGGAGAGAAGCAGTTCCTGCTCCTCACAGAGCGCTTCCATTTCTACAAAAGGTAAAGTAGGGCCAGGTTTCAAGTGTCCTCTCTGGAGGGCCTGCTTCCAAGTGCATGGTGGGCTTTGCTGTGTTATAAAGTCCTCCCTTGCTTCACCTCCTGCAGACAAGCCAGAGTCTGGGGGGCTGGACAGACTTTTCTTGATTGGTTGGTTGGTTTTCTTCCAAAATGGGCATTGTTGGAAAAGGTGGTAGAAACAAATGAGTGACTACAGCATAACTTGTATATAGATCTGGAGTGGGTCCATACTTAGGGTACCTCCTGTAGCTGTGGGTATACCCCTCAAGAAAGACATTACAGAGTTGAGCAGCTCTCAGCTGAATACAGGAAAGGGAGGAACCTGTCACAGAAGCACAGATGAAACATTGGGGACTGTGTGGTCTGTGGAGATGGAAGTTGAGTACAGTGTCAGTGTTCAGAAAGTTCTCATTTGTCCTGAGGCAGTGCACACACAACTTCTGCACCAAGGAGAACCAGGACTAAGGGGCTCCTTGAAGTTTATGAGAAGCAAAAGGTGAGGGGCTTAGAGTTGAATATTTAAGGGTTTCAGGGTTTGCTTAGCTTCCCCACCATATGACTTTGACAAAATAAGTTGTATTGACCTTTTTTTTTCTTTTTCTTTTTTTTAATTCTAATTAGAGTGTTAGTAATATTGAGCCTTCTGTTACTATTTGGATTAGTTGCAGCCCTTTGTGCCCCCAGAGTTTGGTTATTTTACTGTTTTGCGAATTCTCTCTGCTGCCAAATGTAAAAGCCCCTTTTAAGCTCTTACCTAGAGAGACTGGAAATTGCATCCTATAACCTTTTCTTTCCTGATTCACAATAATGTCCAGTGAGTTTAAGTTCTGACTTTACTGTTTTATTGATTCTCAATTATAAGCTAATGAGGGGCACGTTTCCTCAGAGAATCCCTAACATCTAAGCCTGAATCTTCTAGGCTTTGGAACATATTAGATGATACACCTTGGCATTGCATTGCCTTTTAGTTCATGCCGATATTAGGATGGTGTTCCTCCGAAACGTTCTCCTTACCAGGATGGGGAGGGAGGGATCCAGCAGCCTGCCGGAGCGCAGCAAGCTGGCGTGACATGACTTCTTTGGGTATTCTGCTGCCTAGATGACCTGCTAGTGGAGAGTTGAGGAGTGACTACATTTGTGTTTGCTGGGCTTCATTCTTGGCTACCCAGACAAGGCTGTTTGGCCCAAGAGTGTTAACGAATGCCTTCTTGCTGGTATCATTATTTGCTTTGTTCCAGTGAGTTGTTGTTTTCATTCATGTTGGAAATGGTATTTTGGGGGAGTTTGCACTCAGCAGGTCTAATGAGCCCTCAGTTTTCCAAAAGCTTGATACATCAAAGCAAGTCCTTTAAATGAAGTGGATGGATTGGGAAACTTCCCAGCGTGATTGTCTGTAGCAAGTGTGAACTAAGCTGGGATGAGGACTGCTCTCAAGTAGCAGCTTTTCAAGGAGAGGGCATGATGTCAAAGGAGCCCTTTCTCTTAAGTAGGCAGGACAGTCTCCTGTCTTACACTGTTCATTTATTGACCAAACTGTTTTGTCCCCAAAGTCACTATAAAGACAAACCGAACACATGCCATTAGCTTTATACCCTGGACCAGGTTAGTGGGTGTTTGAGTTGAATGGAGATAATCTACAACTGCCAATTATCTCAGAGTTCCTAGCTATAGATTTTTTTGCTTGAGAGGTCACCAAGGTGATGATGGGTATTTTGATCTGCAGTGTCTTTGTGATTTGATTTTTTTCATTTTACCTTGGGAAAAGTACATGTATTTTAAACTTTAGTATCCAGCTTTAAAATTCTGTATTTATATTCTCTATGGAAGTAGGCAGTGTTAGACATATTGCAGTTCGTTTGTGAGCTAGCAAAAAACTTTCAACCTGAGGATTTGTTTTCTTTGGGGAGATGAAACTAGTAGATTCTTAGGATGGGATGGGCATTTGGTCATGATGGCCCTCCTGAGGGGAGGACAGTTCACAGTTCTTTCTTTGAGCATTATCAGTGGGTTAGCACAGGAAGGAGGATTCTTAAGCAGGGGGCAATCAGAAACTCTGGAGGTAGGATTTCTGGAGGTGGGAAACGCTAGTGGGGTGTTTCTGAGTGTTCCCTGCCCCAGGGAGAACCCCAGTTGTAGAAGTAACAGACCTAGTCTTTATAGACTGTATGCAGGAGCCAGCCTTGCAAGTCAGTTGTGGGTGCCTCATTTATCTTTAACAGTTGTCAGATAACATAGACATCTGGAATGTCCTTAGTTTTAGGTCCTGTCACAGTGTTATGCCATATTTGTAGGGGTCACTGAAGACCCAAAGCACATACAGGAGAGGAGGAAGGCAGGGGAAGAGGTGCAGAAGATCATGGGAGTTGGTACTAACTGCCCCTCTGAAGGGGTTCTGGTCACGTTCTCTTATTTCCAGGAGATGCCTAGTCTCTACTGTGGACGATTTGGTACTAAGAGAGATTTTCTTGGTTTTTAAATGTAATACCTATTGGAATTGGTTTTGTTGTTTTATTTTGCTTTAAAAATACTCTCATTATAAGAGTATTAAACAATTATTGTAGAGAACCTAGAAAATCTAGGTTAAAAAAATGGGATCACCGGGCTTCCCTGGTGGTGCAGTGGTTGAGAGTCTGCCTGCCGATGCAGGGGACACAGGTTCGTGCCCCAGTCCGGGAAGATCCCACATGCTGCGGAGCGGCTGGGCCCGTGAGCCATGGCCGTTGAGCCTGCGCGTCTTGAGCTTGCGCGTCTGGAGCCTGTGCTCCGCAACGGGAGAGGCCACAACAGTGAGAGGCCCGCATACTGCAAAAAAAAAAAAAAAGGGATCACCTATAATCTTATTGATATAAATACCCATTTTGGTGTATTTCTTTCCTGTCTTTTTAATGTAAAAAACGTGCACGTGCACAGACACAGGCATTTTAAAAAGGATACCAAAATTGGGATCACAGTGGATACATTTGGATTTTTTTCTTTTATCTTGAATATTTTATGTGCTTATTGAAAAAACTCTTAAACAAGTTAGCATTTTGGTATATATTTGTATGTTATGGATGTATTTTTAAGTTAATATATATATAGTTCTACTATATGTTGCCCCCACTCCAACTTTTTATTTGGGAAGATTTCATTTCAAAGACATGCCCTTTGCCTTTTCTTGACAGTGAAGACTCTCCCAGTGAACATCTCTAACTCCTTCCACTTAGACTCCACCAGCTGTTAGCATTTTGCCACATTCTCATGCACCCACATTCTCTGTCTCTCCTTCTCTCTTTCCACTCACATCTCGTATTTTTTCTTCCTGAACCATTTGAGAGTAAATTACGGGAGGCTTCATGACACTTATTAACTCCTAAATCTTTCAGCCTGTAGAGCCTAAAAACAACATTCTTTTATCTAACCACAACACCATTAACATACCACTTGACATTACTGCAGTAATACCATCTAATATTTAGTCTGTATGCAAATTTTCCTAGTTGTTCCCAAAATGACTATTACAGCTGTTTCTCACCACCACCACCCCCAATCCAGGATTTAGTTAAGAATCCTACATTGCATTTGCTTGACATGTTTCTTTAGTCTATTTTAGCAGTTCTCAAGCAGGAGCAGTTTTGCTCCCCAAGGGACATTTGGAAATATCTGGAGACATTTTTGGTTGGTACAGTTGGAGGGTTATTTTAGTGGTCTAGTGGTTCAAGCGGGTCAAGGCCTGAGTGCTGCTAGACGTCCTACAGTGCACAGGACAGCCCTTACAACAAAGAATTACCTGGCTTAAAATGGCAGTAGTGCCAGGGTTAAGAACCCCTGATCTAGAATAATTCTCTTCCTTTGTTCCTTGTTGTGATACTGATATTTTTTGAAGAGTCCAGTCCAGTTTCCTGTAGAATGTCCCACATCTGGATTTGGCTGTTTTCTTATTATTTAGATCAGTGTTCCCAAACTTTGCTACATATTAGAATCCCCTTGGGGAGCTTTTAAAAATCTGAATGCCGGGGCTTCCCTGGTGGCGCAGTGGTTGAGAGCCCGCCTGCTGATGCAGGGGACACGGGTTCGTGCCCCGGTCTGAGAAGATCCCACATGCCGCGGAGCGGCTGGGCCCGTGAGCCATGGCCACTGAGCCTGCGCGTCCAGAGCCTGTGCTCCACAACGGGAGAGGCCACAACAGTGAGAGGCCCGCGTACTGCAAAAAAAAAAAAAAAAAAAAAATCTGAATGCCCTGGTCATACCCCAGTATCAATTAAATCATGGTGTTTGGGGATGGGGACCAATTACAGGTATTTTTCAAAAACAAATAGGTGATTCAATGAGCATCAGAGTTCAGGGACCAAAGATTTAAACATTATTTTAGTAAGAATTCTACATAGAGGATATTGTGTTCTTCCCCCTGCATCTCCTCAAGAGGCCCAAGGTGTCAGTTTATCCCATTTTTGGTGATACTAAATGTAATCATTTGGTCAAGGTAGGTCTGCTAAACCTTTACATTGTAAAAATACCTTTTCTGTGTAATTATAAGTAATCTTTAAGGTGTGTATAGCATCCTTTTTAATGGTTGCATAGTGTTACATTGTATGGGTATATAATTAAGCCAGTTTCCTTTTAATGGGCATATTGACTTGTTGTTTTCTGGTATTATATACAATAATGCCAAGAGCATCCCTATGCGTAGTTGATGGCATAGTTGCCTGGGCATTTCCTTAGGATAAATTTGGAAAGGAAAACTTACTTGTTCAAAAGCTGTACCCAGTTTACAATTTGCTGTGTGTTGCCACTCCCATCTTCTCCCCTCCCCGCTAAAATACACACTCACAATAATTTATACTCCATTAGCCTATTTCTGTAAAACCCTACTTTTTTCCAGTGACTTGATAGTCAAAACGATACCTCATGGTTTTAATGTCTTTTTCTTGCTTCTGTGTTTTTTGTAATTGTCAGTTGAACGTAGTGCCTGAGTAAGTAGTTGGCCTGGACACCTCTTCTGTCAGGCCACTAGTGTGGCAGGTGTGAATCTAGTTAGGATTTGGTTGTTACCATAGTTACCTTCTATTTACCACAGACTGCCAGTTCCTCCAGCAGACAGTGGCCCACTGTGGGGCCCGGTGCTGGAGGGCCTTGTCTCAGTGTCCTGCTCCCCTCTCAGCTTTCACCATGCCCTGCACCCCTGTGCCGAGGGAGAGCCTCTCCCACGCTCGGGCCCCTCCCCCAGCAGCAGGCTGCTCCTGCTCGCTCCTCCCCTAAGGCTTGAAGTGGGGCAGGTGTTCTCCTCCTGGTCCAGCTCAGATGCAGGCAGGTTCTGTCCATCCTGGGCTTTGGAGCTGGTGCTTTCTCAGGGCTCCTGCACCAGCCTCCACGGCGGCCAGCCTCTGCCTTGTTCTACGAGGGGTCTTGGTGGGAAAGAGTTCCCAGCTTCTCTGCGGTGGTGGCAAACATCTGCTTCCATCAGTGCAGGATCTTGGACTGAACAGGCTTCATGCCCTTTCCCCAGGACAGACTGCTCTTTTCACTGGATGTAAGTCCTGTGGTGGGGAGGAATGGGGTGAGGGGTTAATGCCCCTCCCTTAAGGCACACAGTTTTGCTGCTTCTGACTCCACCCTGGCAGTTGACCTTTGCCCCTCTCATTGGCTTCAGGCTTTAGCTTCATGTACAACATGGCTCTGGGAAGAGAGTGAGTTTTCATGTCTGCACCACCATCGGGGTGTCTCAGGTCTTCTGCCTTGCCTCCAGTCTCTCCAGGGCTCCCAGTGGAGACCTAGGAAAAGCCCTCATGACTGAAGTAAAGGAGTGTCCGGGAATCCCAGGGATTCTGAACTGCCGTGCAAGCCCATAATTGCCCTTTAAGAACTTGTTAAAAGTGTAGCTTTTTTCTTCCTACCCACTTTCTTAGCAGCTGCCCTCTTCCCCACTGTGCTCTGCCAAAGGTGAAATGGTTCATATGTCCTGTCTTTCTTCAGACAGTCTTGTCACTCTTTGGAATTCAGTCAGTGATGGGCTGAAGCTGGCTCATACCAGCTCTTAAGGTATGGTTGCACATCTCTTCCCAGTTCCAAGTTCAGCAACATGACACTGGTAGCTTGAAATGGAGTATTTACACCACAGAAATTGGCAAATGCTTCAAATCAGCACCTATCCTCCCCCACTGAGAATCAGTTGTTAAACACACACCAGGGCACCGTTGAATCAGTTCACTTGGTTTCCCTGTGACATCAGCTGTCTAGGCTCAGGAAAAGGAACACTGTTGTAGATTATCTTTTTGTTGTTAGCATGGGAGCAGTATTCTCTTGAGTTTTCTACATACTAAGCAGAAATGGAACTCTGTGTTTGTTTGTTTAGATAACTACTGAGATAGAACTGTGTTTTTTCAACATCATTAGCCATTAAAATTCCTTTATGGAAAGAGGATGTGGAAAGATGAACCAAGTAATTGACTGCAGTTATATTTTGGGAGAGGAGGGTCTCCAGAGAGATCAGGATGAGCTAAGGGATAAAAAGACAAGGAAAACTTATCATCCATGAATAAAATAAAATTCCCGAGGGAGTCTGACATCAGCCCTGTATGAGAGTCTAACAGGAAAAATCAGAACCTTGTCAACGTATAAAATCTTTGGTCATGGAGCCCAAGAGGAAATGATTGATCTCAACCTGAACCGTAAGGCGAGTCCCTAGGGTCTGCATGCACCCCCCCCCCCCCCGCCACCATGCAGGCCTGTGCAGCAGGGAAAGAAGCGAGGAAGCTGTTGAAATTAATTGCCTTCCCATAATGCCTAATGGGTCCTCGGGCAGGATTTTGTAAATGGGTGAACTTGGGACATCTGCCATGGAGTTAACATGTCTACAGAATGACAAGAAAAGACTAATGGGAGTGCATTTACAGTTTATGCAGTTTATTTTATGTACTGGGTCTGGTCTGACCTCATCTCCATTATAGAACACTGTTTTGCCTGATTATAATAAGGATAGTTAAATTGGAAATGCCTGCTTTTCAAATTTTCTGTGGCAGATTTCTAATCCTTGTCTACTATTCTTCCCCACCCTACCTCAGTCTGCTCAGATTAGGCTCAAGAAGTGCAAATTCATTTTATCATTATCTTAAGCCAAACATTAGGAATTCAAATACGCTGTCACAAAAAATGAGCCCCTCCGGCTCAAATTAGAGTAACTTTTGGTCTGTGTGTTATTTGTGCCATGGTCTTTCTCCTTGCGTGAAACAACGAGAGTGACTGTGTCCCTGTAAAACTCTTCGGTGGCTTTTCCATAAAATTTCTCATGTAGACATAGCCTCTCTTTCTCCTTCTAACAGATACACAATAAAAGGCATCAGGAACCTGATTTTCTATGAACTGCCAACATATCCGCACTTCTACAGTGAAGTCTGTAACATGCTGCAAGCCACCACCAGAGGAGAGGAAGCTGCCTGGACCTGCACTGTCCTCTACTCCAAGTACGATGCCCAGAGGTTGGCTGCTGTGGTCGGGGTGGAGCGGGCTGCACAGATGCTGCAGTCCAAGAAGAACGTCCACCTCTTCATTACTGGAGAGAGATGAGAATTGGTTGGACAGGAAATGGTGTTTGGTGTGATATGTCATGCTTGGTTCTGTGTCGCTTGGACCTGATTCTGATCACTTACACCAAGAAGGGCTGCAACAAGGAAGGAGCACCAGGCAGGTTCTTATCAGATACTTCCTTCTTTTCAGATGATATATACCTGAAAAGTTCAGTGTAAACCAGATTTTGGTAAAACCCATCTTTCAGAGGTCAGGGGAGAGAGCTCATGGGACTCTGAGAAGTTGATAGAAGGAATCTTCTACTTGTGAATTTTTTTGTACGCCATAAATTCTTTTGTTGTGACTTCACCTCTAATTTATTACACTTGGTAAATTCTTTCAGATTTGCCTGTTTCTATTTGACACCTTCTTAAAGTGAGGCATGCATTTCTTTGCTTGTGAGAACTGGTTATGAGAAATTGGAATACTTCTTGCTGTTGAATATCATCTTAGTTTTGGATCACACAGGTTTTGCAAAACTGTTATTTTTCCCCAGCCAAACTTTTTTAAACCTTAAATATTCTATTTTAATTCGACCTAGAAGAGCACATTCGTTCACTGATCTTTTTTTAACTCCTAAATGTTTTGGTGAAAATATATACTTAAAAATCACATTATATAAAATAACATTAATTTCTACTTTATTTCAAGAAATAATTTTGTGAAATTCTTGATGTCGCAAATTCATCTTCAACATCACTGTCTTCATTGCTATAGTCATTTTTTTAAGTCATAGAACATGAAAAGGAAAAGAAGTTACAGTTTTAAAAACATTTTTAGGATGTTCCCTGGCGGTCCAGTGGTTTGGGCTCTGTGCTTTCACTGCCGAGATCCAGTTTCAGTTCCTGGTCAGGGAACAAAGATCCTGCAAGCTGCGCAGCACAGCCAAAAAAAAAAAAAAAATTGAACTATTCTCAGACAGAAAAATTACAAATTCAGAACCTGAATCATCTGAAAATAAATTGCCAAGTTGCTGGGCCTGTCACTCCTAAAAATCACTCCTGAATTTAGTATGTATTTCATGTAAACAAGACATTTTTCTATGTAACCTCAAAACAACCGTCAAATCAGGAAATTGACACTAATCCTTGGGCCCCATTCAGATTTTGCCAGATGTCCCAATAATAACCTTTATAGCAAAAGGATGCAGTTCAGAGTTACATACTGCTTTGAGTGGTCATGTCTCTGTAGTGGCCTTTATTCTGAATGGTACCTCAGCTTTTTCTTGGCTTTCTTGACCTTGACACTTTATTTTTTTAATTTTTAAAAATTTAAAAAAAATTTTTAACATCTTTATTGGAGTATAATTGCTTTACAATGGTGTGTTAGTTTCTGCTTTATAACAAAGTGAATCAGCTATACGTATACATATATCCCTGTATTTCCTCCCTCTTGTGTATCCCTCCCACCCTCTCTATCCCACCCCTCTAGGTGGTCACAAAGCACTGGGCTGATCTCCCTGTGCTATGCGGCTGCTTCCCACTAGCTATCTGTTTTACACTTGGTAGTATATTATAAATCCATGGCACTCTCTCACTTCGTCCCAGCTTATCCTTCCCCCTCCCCGTGTCCTCAAGTCCATTCTCTACATCTGCGTCTACCTAGCCTGCCCCTAGGTTCTTAAGAACCTTTTTTTTTTTCAGATTCCATATATATGCGTTAGCATACGGTATTTGTTTTTCTCTTTCTGACTTACTTCACTCTGTATGACAGTCTCTAGGTCCATCCACCTCACTACAAATAACTCAATTTCTTTTTTTTTTTTTTTTTTTTTGCGGTACACGGGCCTCTCACTGCTGTGGCCTCTCCCGTTGCGGAGCACAGGCTCCAGATGTGCAGGCTCAGTGGCCATGGCTCATGGGCCCAGCCACTCCGCGGCATGTGGGATCTTTCCGGACCGGGGCACGAACCTGTGTCCCCTGCATCGGCAGACGGACTCTCAACCACTGCGCCACCAGGGAAGCCCTCAATTTCATTTCTTTTTATGGCTGAGTAATAGACGTTGACGCTTTAGAAGATTACAGACCAGTTATTTTGGATGGTGTTTCCTGTCAGATTAGGTTAGGTTAGGTTTAGTTTATGCATCTTTGGCAGGAGCAGCATAGAACCGATGCTGCATCTTCCTTGCTGCATCTCTTCAGGCGGTGCATGATTTCCACCTGTCCCATCATTATGACGCTGACTGACCACTTGTTTAAGGTGGTGCTTGCCAGACTTTTTCACTATAGAATCACTCATTCCCCCTTTATTAATTTATATTAATATTACAAGTATGGATTCTTCATTTTTTATTCAGTGAGTTGTAATTGGTTACTATCGTTATTCCTTTAGATGCTTAAATGGTCTCAGATATGGCCAGCAGGAACACCTTCAAGCTGGCTCCTGTGTCTTCTTGACACATCCCCCTTTTACTTGGGCATTTTTTTATTTTCTGACACTATAAGACATTCCAAGTTTGTCTTATACTTTCCCTATTCCAGCCCTGCTTTCTTTAGTGGAAAATTATCTTAAAGCGAAGATTTGAGTGCTAAGTGTACTCAATACCATTGTGGAGCCACTGGTGGTCCCAGGCCATCTCAGTGGTCAGAGCTGGGGAATATCTGCATGTGTGTATATGTATACACATACCTATGTGCCCACGACATCTAAATTTATTTCTGTGTCCATATATTGAAAGCCATGAATGTACACCATACCTCCAATTTCAGACTGACAACACAGGGTTCCTTTTGTTTTCTCCCTTTCCAAACTTGTAACTCCCTTCTCACATAGTGAGACATGTGGCTCCCATTAGGCTCAGTGGAACAACCCATATTGGTACAGATTTTCTTCCTCTTGGACATGCTTAAAATTGCTCATCAAAAAAAAAAAAAGTGAAATCACTTTTGGTGTACTTTTCCTGCTAGATATTTAAATAAGCATTTTTAGTTCTCTCTCAACATGAAGAGTAGAACTATTCATTCCATATATAGATGGGTTCCTAAAGTTTTGCAAATTTATAGGCTTAAGCCAGCCAAATTCATGCTACAAAGAACATTTTTTTTAATATGTATTTTTAAAACGGAGTATAGTTGATTTACAATGTTGCATTAGTTTCAGGTGTACAGCAAAGCAAATCAGTTACACATGTATCCACTCTACAAAGAACTGTTTTATCCGTAGAGTGCCCGGTGGGTATTGGCATATTTGTGCTGTGTTTACCATAGAGCCTGTGTATTATGAGAAAAGAAACGAGTTATTTGCCTAGTTCAGAGATATGAGGAAGAAGGGACTCTGATTACCCCCATCTTCTATTTCCATATTCTTTTCCCTGTGAATTGTAGCTAATTCATGGCTTTCATTATCACTATTCACAAGACTCTCAAATCTCCATCTTCTCTGGACCTCCACTCACATGTGAGCCTGGATTTCAAGTCTGTGATATAGCCCCAGAAATACATATTCTTTTAAGCATTCCTACTGATATTAATGTTAGCTTATAGCCAGCTAACTGCTTCTCACCTACAGAGAACACTGAGGGTTTCAAGTGCGAACCAAGCAGTATTGCTTCTGTTCCTGGCTCAGCACCTGGGAAAGAAGGTAAGCCTCGGCAGTGGCCCTGGCTCCTGAGTTGATTGCAAAGAGTTGACTTTTTGGAGTGGTTTCATTAAAAACATGCCTTAACATCAGGTCTCTCACTCACACAAAATAAGGGAGAGAAGAGGGTCTACTGGACCACGGATGATAAAACCTGAGCTGGAATTATACCCAATCTTGATATTTCTTAGCAAGGCTCATCTTCAGCAAGCAAGTACCTATGTAGTGCTGGTAGAAAATAGACAAAAGAATGGTCCCAATCCTGGGAAGAGGTAGAATTTTAAGGTAGGGAAAGGAACTTAACCAGAAAGTAAGAGTTTTAAACTTTTTTATTTTCTTCCCATAGTAATAACAGCTTAGCACTTTTCTCTTTGAGGGGAAAAAAGCTTTGAGTCATGAATGCTTTCTGCAGCTGGCTGCACCATATGCAGTATTCAAAAGACAAGAACTAGCTAATCATAGAGAACCAGCGGCAGCTTAACAGCCCTCTGCTGGCTCCCAAAGGGCTTATAATTGAGTGCAGATGGTCCCGGCAGGATGGGTATGAATCCCTGCTGACTCCTCACATCCCAGAGGGCCAAGGGGGGCTCATGAAGCCTCCCAGCCCTGATTGTGCCCTCGTGGGGGCCACTGAGGAAGGAGGGGAGGCAGGTGGTGCGAGAGCCTGCTGGCTGCCTTCTGCCCAGCCTTCCCTCGGCTGCCTGAACAGATCTTCGGGCTGCAGAGTGTAGCTTTGATGAGTCTAGGGTCTCAAGATTACAGAAGTCCTGGGGTAAGGGAACAGGGTTGGGGGTTCTTTATAATCATTGGAAGAGCCTCATTGTGCAACCTGCAGGTGGCTGCAGGGCGCCAGAGCCTCACGGAGGAGGGATGTAGTGGGCATGCACAGACGGCTCCTTTCAGGGAGCATCCTCCTGGGGGTGGTGCCCTCACAGCTGGCCCGCCCTCTCCTTTCCCACTCTCTTGCCCATCTCTTTCCCAGCTTCCCTCTTTTTTGGGGGGGGGGATACGCGGGCCTCTCATTGTCGTGCCCTCTCCCATTGTGGAGCACAGGCTCCAGATGCGCAGGCTCAGCGGCCATGGCTCATGGGGCCCAGCCGCTCCGCAGCATGTGGGATCTTCCTGGACCGGGGCACAAACCCGTGTCCCCTGCATCGGTAGGCGGCTTCTCAACCACTGCGCCACCAGGGAAGCCCCCAGCTTCTCTCTCTAAAGGAGTTATGGTAGTCATCCTTGCACCATTCACAAAAAGCTTTTCTGGCTTTTCTAGCTAAACAGAATTCTAAACTTCAGTCTCATTCAAAAAACTTTTCTAGCTAAGTAGAATTCTAAACAAATTTCAGTCTGCTCTTAATACCAGAGTCAGTGAATTGGGAGTAGATACACAGATAATCCAAAATTCATGTAGTCTTTGGAGGGGGAAAGAGAGAAGACAGCTCCCTCTCCTTTCCTTGGGGCCTAGCCATCCCTCCCACGTGAATCTACCACGTCTAGCTGACAGCACAAAGTGCATTTCTTTCTAAAGACTTGTATTTCTTCCTCTTATGCCATATGCTCCAGCCAGAGCTGCAGTAAAATTCTATGTATCATGTCCTGTTTCTGAGCTGAACACGCGTTCCTATCCCCTCATCGTTTGCCTTGTTTCTGTGAGGACCCTCCTTTCTTCAGATGTGGGAAGGAGTTCCCTCTGCATTACTTGCATTTCAGTATAATTCCTGGATTTGCCTTTCACCCCTGGCCACGTTGCCATCATTCCTGTGGGA